ATTATTAAGAGTAGGAGTGATTTGCTTTGGGAGCTTTTAATTGAAAGATTAAAAGAAGCTCACTCTGAAGCTGTATCAAGCACTTGAAGATTTTAGTGACAGGATATATTATATAAGGATTTAACATAAAAACATGTTTGCCTTTACTGTGAATAAATTTATTTTGAACATCAGGTAAAATTCTTGAAAACACTTGCTTTTCAGTGTTTTCATTAATCCCTATTCTATTGGACACTCCAATTTGTGCTCAGGTCTTCAAAAATTGTTATTGTAAAGGTTCTTTGTCTTGAAAGGTGTCACTGAATTGATTAAGAAACTGCAATATATTCATGTACCTGTAAAATAGAAATGTAAGGAAATAGAAATCCCAGTTAGGTGAATATTCATTTGGCAGGGGGTTGAACATACTGTGGACACTTCCTTTGTGTCTGGAAAATGCAAAGAAATCCACGTCTGCCATCATGGCATTCTGAAGCATGGTTATTTTAAGATGAGAGTATGTACTTAGGAAGCTGATGCTTTATAGTGCTTGCCTTTTCTGTGAGGCTTCCCTTTATCCCATATGGCTTTTTAGGAATGAGGAATCCTAAACCTAGAACAGCATGGTACACTTCTGAATTCATCAGTAAAAAACAGGCATGGGAGCCCTGCGGGCTTCCTTAGGACTGCCATATGTTATTATAAAAAACATGCCTTTCTTTCTTGGTGAATGCTGAACATCCTCACAGAACAAAAACGATGTGTGGTACTCAGGCTCTTGAAGTAACTCCCAACTGCTATGTTGCTCTCAGTGAATTAATGGAAAAAAATTTAAAGCCTTTTGAATTTTAGATTTGGAAGTGTCTGTGTGATTCCAGGTACCTGTGAAAAATCATGAAACTTCTGTGTGTCCCTATATTCTTAAGAAGGCTCTTTCAGACATTGAAAAGTTGCAGCCTGAAACTGTGAACACCTGGTTGGACTCATTCTGTCAGGCTTGGCACAGCCACAGCTGTTGTGCTCCAGTGTCTGTATGGAAAAGGAGGTTTGTGAGAGAACTGCAGGCTTATTCCCTGTTTGTTGGTCTGGCAGTCCTTTTTATTCTGAAATCTGTAACATTTGCAGCTGTGTAGGGAGAAGTAAATGCAAGGTGGATGAAAGGCTATAAGGTGCATATACCTTTTTGCTCTTTTGATGGTGTAGTCCTAAATAAATTTCAGGGGCTTTGCTGACATGAGTGCTTGAAGATAAGGATTAATTAATTTTCCTTACTGGCTTGTATTGACAACGTCACATTTTAAGTTTAACCTCTGTTGTCTTTAGGAAATGGAATAAAGAGCTGTGAATCTAAAGTTGAGGGGAATTTCAAACTGATTCTTTTTGTAGTCTCACCTTATTTTAGTCTCACTGAAGAAGATTAAAGAGGGGGAGAAGGAGGGGTGGGGTGAAAGGGTGTGAAGTGTTATTTTCTCTTTACCTCTAAAGTCTTCTTTATCTTGGGTTGGATAACTGTGCTTGGTTCATTATCAGACTGTCTCCTGTGGGAGTCTCCCATGGACTGGTGAGGACCTCCCCCCTTGCCTTACAGCTGGGAGGCACTTGCTGCTTCAAGGCGGGAGGAAGGTTTGTTTCAAAATCCCCTGCCAACTTTTTTGAGCCACAAGTCTGACATTTAGTAGTTCAGGAAAAAATTCCTTCCTCCTTATGACCAGTATTTCTGAAACTTCCTTGCTTCTGAGCAACATGAAAAATTGAGATATAAAAGAACTTGTGCCTGCAGTGGTGTGTGCTGTGCATTTATGCCTCTTGCCCACCTTGTCTCTTTTGTTTCCTTTGCTAATTCTTCTGTGCTTTTCATTGAAGGAAAGCTCAAGTTCCAAACTGTTGGTTCACTCCCTGAGTGAATTTATCATCTGTTCTTTCCTGTGATGATGATTTTGGACTAAATGTATTTATGACAACACAGCAGACTAGGATGGAGAAATCGGTCTAGACGTTAAGTCAGGCTTGTCCTTAAAGTACAAGAGAAGGTTTGGAATCCCAGAACATTTTCAATAGTATCAATTCAAAGTGAAAAATTATCAACTAGGCTTATGATTTGTTATGGGGCTTCAGGGCTGTATTTATGATGTTTGCTGTGTCTTGAGACTTTTGCTCTTGGCTTTTGTCTTAAAAACTTCCCAGACAACCAGTTAACTAACCATACTCCATCTAGTATTAATTTGAATTATTTTTGCCATGCAACTGAGGCAAACTGATGCATGGTACAATATTCTGCAGAACTGCAGATGATTGAATTTCCATCAGCTGTTTTTTGGATTTGGTAGGTCTCTCTAGGTATGCTTGTGAAATGCTTTTCACTTATTCTTTAGGTTGTGGCTTTGTAGTTTGTTTTGAGATTGTTCTCTGAGGAAGGGGATGACTAGTATTGTCAGTCTAAATGTTTAATTTTAGCAGATGAAAATAAGCTTGAAAATAAATCTGGATTCTCTTTAGAGTGGGTTAATTTTTATTGCAGTTGACGTGTGGTCCTGCTCTGTTTCTCAGTCCCAAAAAGAGCAATTGGCACTCTATCGGCTCTTAAGAGAGAGATCAAGTGTTCTTGGAGCCAGCACATGGGACATTTGAAGCACAAGCAGCCTGTTTACTTCTCTCAAGAAAAGCCATAGCTCTTTAAAGTGCCTTCATGCTTCAATATCCTAAAAAGGCATATTTAAGATAAGTACCCTGATTAAGAGACCCATCAGCCTCGGTTGTGAGAAAATGTACTCGGAGGAAACCTTTTTGATTTAAAAAACTGGGCTTTCAGCTGAACAAAATGAATAAAACATTTGAATGGGTGCTTACAAGCTGCGAACACATGAATCTGAAATTTGATTCCATGTTAGAATAGAATTAAGAACAAATTGAACAAGTTGGGTTGGTTTGAGGGATCTGTTTATGTTTTGGTAACTATACTTTTTCTAACTTAAGATACAGCATAGATTATAACTTGTAATACAGAAATTATTCTTCTGATGTGATTGTATTTTAGTAAAATAATATTTTTTTGTTCATGGCCGTGAGAATTTAATTATTAGACTTTGAGGCGATTCATTGTTATTGCAAGGGAAACCTTTCTACATGGAGCACCTGTAATTGCAGGGATAGGTCCTTTAACCCCTCAAACGATGGTAATTTTTTCATTGCAAGGCAAAAATCTAAAGACTGAGTATTGTGCAAATTAAACCTTTTGTAACAAACAAAAAATGGACAAATAAACCATTTTTTTTTAATTTACCCATTCCCCTTTCTTCATAAAGTATCAGTTGCGTTCCAAAGCTGAAAATTATATTGTTTGTGATTGGTCTACTTTAGTATTTAGAAAAAAAAATAATACTTAATAATTTACTAACTAATAAATATAGAAATCTGTCTTTGTATTAGGTGTTGCTTTTAGAACTACATGAAGTAGTTCTGAAAGCAACACCTCTCAGTTCTTGGACAGTGTCAGTGAAGTGTTTGGGTTTTTTCTGCTTTGTTTTGTTTGTTTGTTTTTTTTTATTGATGCATGGGAACAGATAACAGATTTCCATTAACTCCTGTATAATAAAACTGAAGTGTGAGGTAAGAATGCATTGACTCGTGTCTAGTTGTAGAAACCACTCCTGTTAATTATGTGTCTGAGATTCCAGCTATGTCATGGTTGTTATCCTTGCACTTCCTGCTTTGTAACCTTATGCATTCCTTTATTTTTATTTTTAATTATTTTAAAGTTTGTATTAGACAGGCACAATCATGGTAATCCAGCTGGTATGAAATCATAAACAAAAGAATTTTTCTCTGAAAACATTTGATTCCTCTTTTTTTCTAGAAATTCTTCCTTTACTTATATAAGTGAGCCTTTTAATAAATTCTGTAGCAACATGAAAGTTTAATTCTTTCATAGATTAGAGGAAGCAGAATTACTCATATGCTCACTCAATTTTTACTTGCATTGATATAATTTAAGTGTAGTGTAACAGTTTATGGAACTAGTCAGTGCTGTTTTGTAGTGGCTAGTACAGTGGGAATTTGCTACCTTATTTAAGTTCGACTTTGAAGAAGTCATTTCTGTATCCTTCTCCACCTGCTGCTCTTTGTTGGTGTTCAGTACATGAGAATTCATGTAATAGCTGCTATTAGTTAATGCTAAGGTCTGCGTAAGGCCACTGTGGTGATGGTTGATCATCCTGCATTCTAGAATTTTGGAGCATTTGCCATGTACTTTGTAGAAAGGAAAGAACACGTATTTAGCAATTTGATGTGGTGCAGGCTGAGCCATCAGATGTGTGCAAATCATGAGCCTTCAGTAATGAATGCAAATGAAAGCGTTCTATTTTTGACTTGGAATCCTGCTCTACAGTGACTGCAGTTTGTGATCAGAGTGTACAGGACTAATACATCGTGTACCACTATCAGCTGAATTTTCTTTGCAGTGTGCTTTCTGCTCTTGCGTCCTTGAGTATTTTCTGTTCAGTAGTACCAGTAGTACCAGTTTAGAATTTGATCTGCAGTGTGATTACCATCCCTTTATCTGTTTATGAAACTATGATTGTATGACATGACAATTCCTTTTCTTTTCCTCCACTGTTATTTGTTTCACTCAGACTTTCAGAAAGGAAGTTGGGAAACATGGTAGCTTTATTTGCCACTACACTGACATAAACTAAATGTGGATAATAAAAGAAAAAATGGAGATAGTAAATTAGTGGGATGGAAGAAATAAATGGAAGTCAAAACTATTCCAGCCTATTTTTTGGGACTCCTTCCTTAATAAAAAAAGAGTTGATTTGCACATACAAGCCTTTCATTTTGTTTGTACAGTCACTATTTTACGGTTAAATTTTGTATCTGCAACCTGGTGACTATGTGCAAGTGAAGTACATTTGCACAATGCAGAATTTTAAACCCTTTATTTTGCTTGGGAACTTTATATTCTGAAGTAAAAGTAAATAACATTTCTGTTGTGTTTTGATTTTTTTTTTCCCTCCTCACTTTAGATCCCTGCAGTTCACTCAGCCCGCCGTGCTTTACTGAGGAGGACCGATTCAGCCTAGAAGCTCTCCGCATGATCCATAAGCAGATGGATGATGACAAAGATGGTGGTATCGAAGTAGATGAGAGTGATGAGGTAGGAGTAAAAAAACTTGTGCATACATGAAGTCTTTGTTATCCTTTTGTTTTGTATAGCTGCTCTTTATGTTTCAGCATTTGAGTAGTTGTTGCTGTTCTTATTAATTCAGCCCTTTCCTCAGGCACATATGGAAGGAAAGTCTAATTTCTGTGTTTATCTGAAATGGGATATTACTGTCCATTGTTCTAGCCTAAAGGAAAGTTTTGTATGACTATGTATAGAAGGTGCTACTTTTGTGATTGGTGTAAGAGGTGGGCAAAGGTGAATGGTTTAGCTTGCAGTAAGACAGTGGTGTCTTACTGACAGATCCACTGCTTGGTGTTGTGGTTTCTTCACTCAAAATTTTCTTGCTTGAGGCATCACTGGGTTATCTTATTTACCTTAGATCTGTTGCAGGCACTTCATGGTGTAAAACAAGACCTGTTACAGAGAGCAGTCTAGAAGAAAGATTTCTGGTTTGGTTTACATTTTGCCGACAAGTATTAAGGACATTATGCTTACTAATGGTAAATTGAGTCCTACAACCTAAGGAAGTTTTTGTGACTGTGGTTGAATGAGTTTGGTAGGTAGGCTCCTGGTGGTCCTGGCAAAGGACTTGCCCTTGCATTTACAAAACTACCATTGGGATTCTCAGAATTACTGGGTAGGAATGTAGTTTCGTTGTGCTTGCTTATTTTGCTTTCTGGCTGTTGTTAGCCACATGCTTGACAACTGAAGGGATGAAGATGTCCCCTAAAAATGATTGTATTGTCATGTGGTTCTGACACCCATTCTTACTGTAGATGAATGGGAGAAAAATCTAGCCCTCTTTTGTCATCCTTTTTTATGACGTCTAGGGGAAGATTATTCTCCCTGAATGAGTTATGAATTATCATTGTCAAATATAACGTGATGCTACTTACTTTTCCGTGTGCCTAGGTGCAAACAGCATCAACAGGCCCCATCCAGCCTGACCCTGAACTCTTCCAGGGACTGGGGCATTCACAGCATCCCTGTGCAGCCTGTTCCAGTGCCTCTCTACCCTCTGAGTAAAGAATTTGTTCCTAACATGTAGACAAAATCTCTCCTGTTTTAGTTTAAAACTATTCACCCTTGTTCTGTTGCTGTCTGCCTGGGTAAAACGTTGCTCTCCCTCTATTTTATACCCCTCCTATATGTACTGAAGGTCGCAGTAAGATCTTCCTGGAGCCTTCTCCAGGCTGAACAGCCCAGCTCTCTCAGCCTGTCTTAAGATAGGTTCTCCAGTGCTCTGATCATCTTCATTGGCCAGTCTTGTTCCAATAGGTCAATGTCTTGTGCTGAGACAGCACTCCAGGTGGGATCTCACAAGAGCAGAGGGGCAGAATCACCTCCCTCGACCTGCTGGCCACTCCTCTTTCAATGTAGCCTAGAATGCAGCTGACTTTTTGGCCTGAGAGTGTACACTGTTGGCTCATGTTCAGCTTTTCATCCACCAAGTCCTTGGTAGGGATGCTCTCAATGACTTCTCCCATGAGTCTGTGGAGACTCATGTCTTGCATTGCTCATGTCATGTCTTTCATTGCTCCAATGCAGATGCAACACCTGGTCCTTGGACTTAATGAGATTCTCGTGGGCCCACTTCTTAGGTTTGTCCAGATCCCTCTGCATGACATCTCTTTCTTCTTCTAGTTCAGCTCTGCTGTTCAGTTTCATGTCATCTGCAAACTTGCTGAGGTGCACTGTCTGTATTGTTGATGAGGATATCAAAGAGCCCTTCAAGAGAGCCCTGAAGGGCACCACTCATCACTGGCCTCCACCTGGACAGAGAATGATTGACAGCTATGTCCATTCAGGCAGTTCCTTATCCATCAAATGATCCATCCTTTTAATCTGTCTCTCTCCAGTCTGGGGATGAGGGTGTTATGTGCCGCTGTGTCAAAGGCCTTTCAGTGGTCTAGGTAGATGACATTTGTTTGGTCTTCCCCCATCAACCACTGCAGTCACCCCATCATAGAAGGCCACCAGATCAGTCAGACACCGTTTGCCCTTAGTAAAGCCATGTGCCGCTGTGTCAAAGGCCTTTCAGTGGTCTAGGTAGATGACATTTGTTTGGTCTTCCCCCATCAACCACTGATCAGACACCGTTTGCCCTTAGTAAAGCGAGGCTGGATTGTCTCAGATCACTTCGTTGTATGTGCAGTAACATTGCTTCCATGAGGATCTGCTCTATGATCTTCCAAAAGACAGAGGGGTGAGGCTCAGTGGTCTTTATTTTCTCAGGTCTGCGTGTCTCTCTTTTTCAATAGGACTAATGTTTCCTTTTTCCTGATCACCAGGGACTTCACCTGACTGCCATGAGCTTTCAAAAATAATGCATATTGTCTGCCTTTGTTGGTGCAGAATATTTGGGACAGGCACAGTTCCGTCTGCAAACTGAAACATTAGTGATGGAGTGTGAGCTTCCTGAGGAACTTCCCAGTACTTTGTTTGTTTCTCTTGACTTGTACTGCATTTTTTATACACCAAAGCTGAGGAAGTTTCTGAAAGAAAATACTGAAACATTGGAAACATTTTATTAGTATTCAGATTTGCCCTGGTTTCTAGTGGACCATCTTTATATGTGACCTTAAGTTTCTTCCTGTTCCAGAGAAAGCAAGAGAAACTATGCTAAAGACCTTTAATGGCTGAAATTATAATAGTTGATGAGGCATGTTGTTCAGCGGGGGTAATTAGAGGTGGGTGAAACTATATGCTCAAACTACACATTGTGCATAAAATAAGTGGCTTAATTGTAGCCCTTGTTTTTGCTAGTTCATTTTTAATTATTGAAAAATATTTAATAACCCACTCCCTGCAAAGTAGCACTTTTCTACATATAATTTCCACGCAAATCAGTGATGAATATGTATTTGCATAGAGTGCTTTCTTCTAAGACATTAAATGCAAACCTGAAATTAATGAGAAATGCAGTTTAATTGCAAGTTCAGCTAGTAACCTCTGTTTTTCTTGTAGTGCTTTTACTAAATCTTTGCCATTATCTTAAAAGATCTACATTTACACAACATAGTTACATAGTTACCTGATTACAGTAGGTCTGAATATGTACTAAATATGTCCTATTTATATTTCAGAAACAGATTTTTTCTTTTGTTCTGTCACAGTGGGTAATGCTGCTTATTTTTATTAAGAATGAGGACTGATAATTAAAAAAACCACTTTATTAGAAGTAAAGCTTACATGAAATACAGGGATTTTACTAAACAGCAGGGAATGGATTTTCTGTTTTATGCTGCATGGTTTTTACTTTCAAGACTCCTGAAGAGCAGCATATTGAGTATGTGGATTAGATGTTCATTCGCTTTTTACTTGGCAGGAAAAATGTGACAAAGTAGAATAACTTTCTGCTGTTTTACCAGCATTACAACAGTGTTGCAAGGGTATATTTACACCAAGGAAGGAAGTTCTTGTAAATAAGTTATTTTGAGACAGGAAGGTAAAAAGAGCTAAAGATGTTGAACTATTTATTTTAACTGTTTTAATTTGCTAATCCAGTTAACTCCTGACAGTGATTCCAGACATTTCATCTGCATGCAGTTTATTTTTCCTAATGTTTTCATGCCCTGTTTTAGGTTGTATCTTGTTTTTCCTCTGTAAAATGAAGGACCACATGAAACCATTCTGTAAAGAAGGAATTTTTCTAGGATATTAGAAAATTTGAATGAAGGTATTTCTTATTTCCCCAAAAACTGTCTGATACTGGAAGGCCTTTGAACGTACTTTGTATGGACTGGAAAGAAACTTGTATTTGACTTTGATAAAGTTGATGTGAGGAAATCTGATCTAAATTTTTAGCATGGGATTTAATAGTCAGCAAAACATGAGGGATTTTCTTGAAGTCTTCTTAGGAAGTTGGAGGGGCTCTAATCTGAACATGGAGTAGTTACTTTTTCTTTTTTAATTATTGTTTGGTGTGATACAGCAGAGAAAAAGAAAAAGGAAGAAAAAAGCCCTCTATACTTATGAGGCAGGCTAATATGAATTTTTCTATTAGACTTAGCTGCTGATATTATTACTTTATATGTCAAGGATTGTGATTGTTTAAGCTGGTTTCAAGAGGCAGGCTGTAAACGGGTAACTGGAAGGGAGAACATGGTATTACTAACTGAGGTTTTAGTCATGTGTTGTGGGAGGCTATCTGCCTCAGGAAGCATCTGTTGCACCATGGGAACCTGTTTTGTTTTAATGATGAGACACAAGCAATAAAACAGACTTATCATATGTTCACTATTTACATAGGTTTTTCCTGTTTCCTTAGCTTCCCTGAGCAGGTCCTACATAAAGTAATTTCCTCAAGGAATCTCTCTGTAATGTTAGAATAAGTTGATGTTTTTGAAGTATTAGTATCGTACTGTGTGTCTAATGTCTCACCAAGCTAAAGGCACAAATGTACGGTTTTGCGTGGGATCTGTGCATAGATCACTTCATATTTTGCTTAAGTTTTTTTAAGGAGGTAACTGGAATTGTCACTTTACAAAAAAACTGCAAACTGAACAAACCCCATAGAAAACCACCAACACCCTGTCCCATGCCATTCCCCGAGAAAAAGAATTAAAAAAAAACAAAACAAAAAGGTACAGTAAGGAGAAGAGACTGCAGCATTGAAAGCATCTGAGAACAGCTTTTAGCAGGATGGTCGAAGAAATTGGAACCTCAGAGATGATATGTCAAAGTGACTGACTTAAAAATGTTGTCAGGAGGCAAGAATCAAACAGAATCTAACTTTTGTGGCCTAAACCAGGGAAGATTATTCTCTTCTGTACAGTGATTAAAGCAGGAAAAGTATCTGGCATGGTCTGGAATGATAATACTATTATAGCACTTTGGCTGCAGTAAGTTTGACAGGGATAGGCTCCATTCTGTTCTCTGGAAATATACTCTCAGCAAGTTGTTGAATGTCCTTTCAAGTTCCCTTAGTATTTTGGTTTTGTCATTCTCATTTATGTAATAAATGTCCTTAAACTGGAGTTAATATTCCT